GAAGGTAAAATTCTATACATCTAGAAGTTATGGTAAATAAGAGAGCTGCAGAGAGTGGAAGAAAACCCGACGTCATCCGAAATCTAATACCTGCGTGTGGCACTGTAGATTAACGGAATGAAACAATGGCACAGCTTGTTTGTAATTCACTCAGTGACATACGTGCATGTCACAGGATTGGTAATGATTAGTGGTCGGAAGAACATTTGGAAAAACGAAACAACGTTACAGTGACGTTGATAGAATGTATTAAGTACCAGGAACTTACAGCTTAGAGTGAAAAAATGCTATAGAGTTTTCTCGCGATTTCGATGTCCTCCTCACCAATCTATTCAAACAGCTAAATTCGAAACTAAAAGTCATGAAAATCGCTTTTTCTCATGCCGCTATGAGGAGGTTGATGAACAGCTTTGCAAGTACGCACGTTTCTCGTCACCAAGTGAAAAATGCCCGAATAGCGTTTGAAAGAAAGAAGATGTTGAAAAATTCTTTCCGTTCACTAGTTCCCACGCAAGAGAATTTTTTTGCATCTTTTGCTGCTCTTTTGAAAAGAAAATACTAATTTTGTGCAAGTGTTTTCTCACTGAATCACACCCGCCACTGACTTACTAGAAATGCCTCATTCTAATGAAGGATTTAAATTAAGTGAACATTTATATCTTTTTAGAAAAAAATGCTTAAATGCCATCATTGTCGCTGTTTATGTAATAAGTACGGTTTCCATTTCTGTAGAGTTTTGATATGAACAGCGATGAACAAGAGTATTAAGTTGCAAGCAAATTTGCAAAACCATGCTTTTGTCAATCGCCAGCTTTCTCACATTTCAAGTAATTCAATTCTGTCTAAAGTGCCTCGGCACTGACTCGAGTAGATACAAAGCTTGATCAAAAACACTGCCATATTCATTTCCAGCAGACTTGACTCTTGACCTGGACAAAATTTCGACATTTTTTTTCTCTGATCAACAGTTTTAGTGATTCTCGAAGTTAGCGATGCCGTACTGCCTATATAAGAAATTTCAAGAAACTTTTGTAGAAGGTATCCAAATGCTGAGGTAACGAGTGGAGTCCGCGTCTCTAAGTTGATTCGCCCGGTTCTTAATGGGAATGTCGCCGTCGAGCTGTGCTTACGGAAGAACCCAGCCCTAGCAAAGGTGAATTGTCAGTAAAGGACGACAGCGGGAGTCGACTGGCACAACGGCCTGTTGAAAGCCGATTCAGCCATCGTTCATACGAGTTTTACTTAGTTCATC